AGATCTCACCCAAATCTGGCTGCTAATGGCCATATCTAGTCTAATATGGTCGTTTTCGGCCATCAATATGACCAAAAAAGACCATATCGGGGCCTCTCGGTCATGGTGGACTACTCACGGTGACTCCAGGTGACTTCTAATGGTGGTTTGTGGTGGCGGCAGGGTGGTGGGTATGTTATTTAAATGACTAAATTGCTCTCTTTTTAAATATTGATATAATATTATTTTTTAAATAATTCTTTTAACCCCCAAGATTTCAAATTTAGCTAAAACACCCCTGCTTATATAAAACTTTAATTTATAACAAAATCACCCAAATCCATGACCGTTAACAGTCAGATCTCACCCAAATCTGGCTGCTAATGGCCATATCTAGTCTAATATGGTCGTTTTCGGCCATCAATATGACCAAAAACGAACATATCAGGGCCTCTCGATCATGGTGGGCTACTCACGGTGACTCCAGGTGACTTCTGACGGTGGTTTGTGGTGGCGGCAGGGTGGTGGGGGTGATTTTGTTATAAATTAAAGTTTTATATAAGCGGGGGTGTTTTAGCTAAATTTGAAATCTTGGGGATTAAAAGATTATTTAAAAATTAATAATAAAAATAATATTATATCAATATTTAAAAAGAGAGCAATTTAGTCATTTAAATAACATACCCACCAATTTATTCCTCATAACCAAATATATTAATATAACATACTCAGCCATTTATTCCAACTAACTAAACACATTTTCCTAAAAATTCTCAATAATCTTCAAGGTAATATAAGATTCCAGTAATCCAACATTCCCTAAACCAAACGCACCCTAAATATTATATAACATTATTAGCTTGTATGAGTAATATAATATAACATTAGAGTAAATGACATGTTCCCACATGAGGTCTAGCGAAATCCCAAGTTCATTCCCTAGTTACATTTATTCCAAATTTTCACTTTTAAACTAACACTGTTAAGTACTGTTAGGTTCTGACACAGATGCAATGACTGCAATTGCCAAAATGCCTTTGAACCACCCATTTAGGCCGGGTGGTAGACAACGATCGATGAGTAACCATTGTTCGATGAGATGGGGTTTTGTTAAGGAGATTTTGGTACTGATGGTAGGGGAAGGTAGGGTTTTTAGCGTCAGAAATGGTCGAAATCCAGCCAGGAAGCGAGAGGTCGCAAGGTGGGTGGCAAATGGCGATTGATGAGAAACCATCATCCAGTGAGATGGGGGTTATGTTAAGGAGATGTTGATGGTGTTAATGGTGGGGGTAGGTAGAGTTTTTGGCGTTGGGAACAACCGGCTGGCCTAAAAGTGGCAGTCGTGCTGGTGGGAGGGTGGTTGCTATAGGTGGGTGCGCAGGGGTAGCTTACGCGCGCTGTTGTGTTCTTTTCCTTGAGCATCTGGCATGCCCTTAAGAGGAAGAGAGTTGGGAATGGTTGGGTGATGATGGAAACCCAGAAAAACACAAAACGCAACACAACACTCCAATAGCAGCAACCAACACAAAACTACAAAAAAAATCAGCCTCCAAAAAGCCCCAAAACGAGCAAATCGCAAAAACCCAACGACGAGAGGGCAACATTCCATGACCAACGACCGGAAGGCAACCAATGATGGGGTTTGAGGGCTTTTGTAGAGTGGAGGCCAGTGGTTAAGAGGGTGGTGGAAGATTTGATTTTGGCGGCCGAATTTGATCGAAATCTGACTTAGAAAGATAGGAGGTGGCCGGCAAAAAAATGGTTGGTGAGGGCGAAAACAGTGGAATCTGTGCTAATTTGAGGTGGGAAAGCGTTGGATTTGCAAAAATGAGTTGATTTTGACTAGTTTCGATGAGAAAACTGACCAGTGGCGATGGCGGCACTTTCGACCAAAAACAGGTAATTAGGCTACGAACCAAGGGTATTTTAACTCTTTTACCTTTTAACTGTTAAAGTAAAGGAAAAGTCATTAGTTCAAGGGTGGGAATATGGAATAAATACAATTAAGGGTATTAACTTGGGATTTTGCTATACCTCATGTGGGAACATGTGGTCTTGCTCTATAACATTATTTTAAAGTAGTTTTTAAGATAAGTGAGATGAATAACAATTTATTCACTATTGGACGATAGCAAAAAAGAAGGTGGTATAATTACATTATTTTAAAGTAGTTTTTAAGACAAGTGAGATGAATAACAATTTATTCACTGTTGGACGATAGCAAAAAATAAGAAGGTATAATTACAAACAGGTTGTTCTGAAAGGCTTAATATTTTAGACAAAGACAATTTGTTTTTGTTGTCGATCAAACAAACAAACGCAAACCATAGTGTTACTCTTCTTTGCGTTATTGAACATGATAAAACTCAACCTTAGCCAAATTAATTCCCAATTAGCTTATGACGAAGAACAAAGATATCTGCCTTTTTTTTCTTTCAGGATCATTAATATATATTGTTCGAATCATTGCAAAGTAATTGAAGATTGTGAAGTTATTGCATGGGGAAAATTATGGGATTATACAAATTATTCGAGGTGAAAACAACGAAAACCTAGATAATAATAAACACATTTCCAAACCAAAAGTCACAACCCAAAATCTGACCTTGACAAGTCAAGCTTAAAAATTTATTAATAAGGAGTAAAATTGTAACAAAAATAAGATTATCAAGTAATCTTATAATACATAAAAAAATGATGGTAATCAGATTATCATCTATATAACTAACAATGATATTATCGGAGTTTTATATTACTTGATAACTAAACATGGTAATGTAAGTAATATAAGATGACATTATTGGAGTAATGTCAAATACCCCCCAACCAAATGCACCATAAACAGTATCATCAGTGGTAGTTTTTAAAATCAGTAACAGGGAGATAAATAACATTGATAACCAAACATGGTAATATAAGTAATATAAGATGACATTATTAGAGTAATGTCAAATATCCCCAACCAAACGCACCCTAAAGGGTAAGGTTATTTTTTTTTATGACTAGATATACGAGTCAGCTTGTGTGCACCTTAACTAATCTTTGGGGCTCATTGAACACCCTACAGACTCAATGTGTTAAGATAAGACTAATCTCTGAGACTCATTGAACACCTACAAGTCAAATGTTTCAAGATAAGACTAATCCCTGTCATGGTTATGATTAATTAAGAGTTCTTCAACCGATGCAAAGCCCTGTTTCTTTGCAACATTAATATTCTACTTCAAAGCTTAAAATGCAAGATTTCTTTGAGAGCTCTCTACTACACCTGTAAATTTCCAACTAATTTCGATCACAACAATATGAGATTGTAGCCTATCGGCCTGTTGGGCCTTTTGGTCTACCCCTCGCAACCGGACCCAATCATCTACAGTCCGCAACCTTTTACAAAATGGAGTGAATAAGATAAATATTTATTTTGTTCAGCGTCAAGCTTTATTATATTGTTTATAATATGGAGTCAATAAGATATAAAATGAAATCCACATGTGCAATTACAAAATAAATAAGTCAAACATGAAATAATTTCATAAAATAAAAGGAAACAGATGAAGAGAGATTGAAAGGTGAACCTTATGGTTTGTCTGTCGGTTAAGAAGGTTTTCTTCTTTTTTTGACCTCCTTGATTTAAACCACTTTAGGGTCTCTAACTATATTTGTGGCCTACTTTAAACATTTAGTTTGTAGGGTGTTTAATGGATTTTGTTTATTAGTTGAGGTACGCTTAAATTAGCTTAGACATTCTGGTCATTTTAAAAAAAAAAAATTGTTTATTTTGTGTTTCTTTTTTTTTTTTTATTTGTTGTGTTTTTTTTTTTTTTTTTTTTTTTTATTTTTTGTTTATATTTCTTTTTCTTTTTTTTATTTTATTTTATTTTTGTTTTTTGCTTTTTTTTTTTTTTACTCTTTTTTTTTTATAATTATTGTGTTTAGTTTGTGTTTCTTTTTTTTTTTTTTGTTGTTGTGTTTTTTTTCTTTTTTTTTTTTTTTATTTTTTGTTTATATTTTTTTTTCTTTTTTTTATTTTATTTTATTTTTATAATATTTTTTTTTTTTTTTAAAAAAAATAGGATCACCCCCATTGAGGATGAATAATAGGGGTGTGCAAAAAAAACTGTTAACCAAATTGAACACGCTAACTGAACCGAACCAATTTTGATTTTTCAAGTGCCCAAAAATCGGGTCGGTTTCAGGTATTTATTATGTGATATCCAAATTTTCAGTTTAGGTATCGGGTATTTATTTTAAGAGAACTAAGTACCTGGTTTATTAAAAAATAAAAAACCTAGTTTTTAAACTTATTTTCCTTTAACTTTCAAAGATCAAGAGACAAAAGCCCCAAATCTTTAGTATTTAAGTTATTAAATTAAAAGTTGATTTAGTATACGGAAGGAATTGTATTCACAAATTGAAATTTGAAATGTAAAAAATTAAACTTTATGCAAATTCGGGTACCCAAAAATCGGGTATCCTTAAAAGTGGTTCGGTTTGCGGGCAACCTTTTAGGGGTACCCGAATATTTTTGGGGCAAAACCGATTCGGGTATCCGGTTTTGCACAGCCCTTGAATAATGTTTGCAAACTGATTAGTTGTCTCTATTAATTTTTTTTTTTTTTTTTTTTTTAGAATTAAAATATATTCATCTAGGCTCAATCCAGATACTACCATACTGCAAAAACAAAAACATGAATTTGTACCCTGACTGCGTTCAACACTGCAAGACAACAAGATTTTATGTAGATAATTTGTCTGCTTTGTCATTAAAGATTGGGTTGAAATAAGAATATGAAAATTATTTTAATTTATTGATTATCAGCTTTGCGGTTTGCACGTCTCGTTAAATAAAATAGCCTAATAGGTGCCAGGCTTTTGATATGTAGATTTCGTTTCTGTCGTGCAGCCAAGTTAGTTCCTATACTGCATATTATTTTATTTGATAGTGAACAACACGATATAATCCCATCAACATATAAAAGCCCATGGCTCAAACGCTTCATACTTGACTACTCTTCAATCCTTGTTCTCTGTGTCAGCATCGATCTTGTATCTGAAAATGGCACTCACAAATTCCTTTTTTGCAGTCTTCATGCTTCTTTTTTCAACAATGGTTATTGTCTCAGCTGATGGTGGCTATGATACCGCTCCCGCAACTGAAAAACCGGGACCAGCAGAAACCGAAAACTCATTATCCACAACCTTAGGAATTCAAGGGACGATATATTGCAAATCAGGCTCAGAATTCACCCCACTTGAAGGTAATTAATCTACTTGCTTGTATTTTATGCCTTAAAAGACTCAGTCGATCAATCTAACCAGATAAAGTAGTCCCATTTTCTGTAAAGAGATTTGCCTAAAATTATGATGTTTTATGCCATGGAGCAGGAGCTGTGGCAAGGATAACATGCCTATCAGTGGATAAGCGCGGCAACGAAATAGCACCTTTCTCAATCTTGAGTGATGCAACTGATAATAAAGGCTACTACTTGGCGACGTTGTCCCCTTCTGAGATGAAACATAACTGGAGGCTTAAAGAGTGCAAGGCTTTTCTTGAGCTCTCTCCATCTGAGACTTGCAACGTTCCCACTGACATTAACAATGGGACAAGTGGTTATGTTCTTGCTAAGCATCGCCCCATCAAAAACAAGAATATGATAATGTTCTCCGTTTGGCCCTTCTATTTCCAAGAAGATAAAACAAGCTCCAATGGTTATTAACTTAATTCATTGATGAACGGACAATAAATTATGTTGTTCATTGTTTGATTTTACTGGCCATTTTGCTTTGAAGAAATGTAATGAGCAAGACATTAATTTTGGAAAGGAACCTAATTTGTCCACCTACCTCCTTTAAACTTGTTTGCTTAATTATAGGACTTTGGTAAGAGAATTGCCCTTAATTGGAAGGTAAAAAATGTTGGATCAGTAAATATGATTCACCTAACACAGAGCTTCCACTTAAAGTCATGCTGCCTCAGCTACTAGCAATTCGCTGAGGCTTAACCACCCCTACCTACAATAAATGCATCATCGTTAATGTACACAAGGTTAGGTTAGGTTAGGTTTGTTCTAAGAAAGATCCTTTTTGGTTGCGTATCTGTGTTGCAGTGACACTTAAAACTCGTGTTAATCACCACCGCCTGGATCTCGGATGAATCCAGAGACAAAAGGACACAACTTGGAGACTTAGCCTTAGCATGATAACCTCACCGCGGTTACTGCTGACTTATTTATTATATAATTTGTCAAGTGTTTCCACATAGGTGTCGGGTGAGAAAATATATGTGACAGGCAGTTATAGTAGCAGAATATCAAAGAGCAAGCGGTGAGGAAGGAAATAAAGATGCCAAGTAACAAATCCGCTGTCAAAGAGACGTCCGCTTCAAACTCCGAGTTTGATACTTCACTCCTCCCCGAGTCAATCCCCTCTTTAAAAATCAAGAAAACCGTTGCATATATTGAAGCCTATACCACAAATTAAATCAATAGTTAACACTTACAATCAAGAATTCAATAAAATTATGACGGAGGAGATTAATAAGAGCTCGCATGGGAAGAAGAACAAGTCTCAGCGGCTAGGCTTAACTGTTGGTGCTGGAGATGGTATAGGAGGGATTGTTTTGTTGGGTGGAGGTTTGGCTGTTGCAGGTTTGATTGCAGCTTTTTCAATCATCAAGAACAGAAATGGAAAGAAGTGTGATAACTCCGCCACTCCTTCCAACGAAAAAAAGGATGCCACACAAGGCCTCGATTTGTTTCTTCAAACTCCATCAACCCCTTTGCACCAGAATCAGAATTCATGGTTAGGCTTTGAAAATTGAGTAATTAAGTTAAATTTTGTCTTTTCTGCGTGAGTTTGATTTATCATATTAATTCTGAGTCTTTGCAGCATCACAAGCCATGAAACATCAAAGGTTGCCGTCACTGTAAGTCAAATTGATTCTCCCGAGACTGTCTCTATCCATAGTTTGGCCTTGGTAATTTGTCCCTTCCACGAAGTGTTTTCCGTGTACCTTTTTTTTTTTTTTTTTAAAAGAAAAAAATAAATCTTTGCGTTTAACTGACATTTTGTGCATTATCAATTTTTATGGCCATGGTGTGTATGAACATATTGTAAATTGTAAAAATTTGTGAAACAAACCTTCGTGACTATTAATAAATTATGTGCTCCAAAAGGATACAAATGTTAATATCCTGAGTAATTTGATCCAGGGAGATCAAGCTGTGCCGATATTGGATGGAGAAAAAGAGAAACCTAGCAATTTTCATCCAGAAAACTTCTCTAATATTAGCGCTGAAGTGTCTTCATTGCCAGCGCCTGATGGCCCCTCTTTGGCTAAAACAGAAAATATGATCAAGAATGAATCTGGTGGGGATTTGCATTTGAAGGAAACCATTGAAGTAAAGAAAGGGGATGATGAAGTAGAAACGGAAAATTTGGCAGTAGAAAAAAATTTACCAATTCAATTAGCTGAAGATGAAGAAGAAGAAGAAGATGATGATGATGATGGTGGTGGGAGTAGTGATGAAGATGTCACAGAGGAAGAGGTAGAGAGCTTGGAAGAAGAATCATCATTGGAGGAACATTCACCGATACAATCAGTTGAAGAAGAAGAAAAAGAAGATGGTGTTGGTGATAGGGGAAAGGAATGCCTCATGGTGAAAGAGGGAGAGAGCTCAGAAGGAGAATGGTCAGTGGAAGATGAAGTAAAGAAAGAGGATGAGTGGGGAGAAATGGGAAAACTGGCAGTAGAAGAAAATTCACCAACCCAATCAGTTGAAGAGGAAGAAGCTGATGATAGTAGCGAAGAACATAACATAGAGAGAGAGGAAGAAAGCTCGGAAGGAAAATTGTCAGTAGAAGAAAATGCAGCAATGGAATCAGCTGAAAAGGAAAAAGAAGACGGCCACGACAACAATGATGAGGATAGTGGTGAAGAACATGTGATGGAGAAAGAGGAAGAGAGCTCAGAAGGAACTGTATGCTCATCTATTGAATCTAACGTTCAGGCAATTTGGCCAGCAGAGATGATAGAGGCCTTGTCAGAGGAACTCAAAGGATTGAATGCCATCAACCAGAAGAAAGCAAACGAAACAGAGAATTACCATTTCTTGGACTGCAAAAGGAAGAGAAATATCAAGATTGAAGACGAAAGCAATAATGAAACTACTGAAAACGCAACAACTGTATTTCACAAGAAAGCAGCTCAGGCGGTCGTCATGATGAAGGATCTAACAGTGAACGATCTGAACCGGCGAATTTGGGTTTGGTCAATTTTGGTGTTACTGTTGCTGCTGCTACTGTTGCATATTCATCGTACAGCTGTCCCCGCCAATCTTACTTATCATCAACCTGTCACTGTTCCTTGAATTGAATAAATTGTCCCTGTCAAAAATGAATTTTCCATGAGTTGAAGTATACAATAAAGGCTTTTATTCATTGTCAACGTTGTTAGCAATGCACGATTAACCCATATACCAACTTCTGTTAATATAAATACTATGTGATTAAGACATTTATGCATGTAAAAATTAATTAATCAATAATGTTATATATATAATTATAATCTATTGATAAAAGATTTACTTTCCTATAATTTATATAATATTGACACATTAGTAGAGAGATCTCTATTAGATAACATCATCCATATAAATAAATATGCCGGTAAAAAATGCATAGAGTCATGAAGTAGCAAAAAATGCAACTTCTACCACTAGCATAATCAACCTGGCAAAATTATTTGTACCGTAATTGTACTCGACTAACTGCCAACTATAATTCTTGAGTTAAGAGTAATTACACTCGACTAACTATTTGTACCGTAATTATACTTGACTAACTGCCAACTATAATTCATGAGTTAGAAACTGCCAACTATTAGTCATGATGATGACTGCTGACTCCAGATTGTAGTTACCCATTATACTGGCTGCACCATGCGGCTGATTGTTTAGAAAACAATTCTGGTCAACTAGAACTAGTTATAGGCTGCAAATTCCAGTCCATACTCAGAAGTACAATACATAGCACAATTCTCAAAAGGGAAAGCTAAGCAATACATAAAAGCACGAGTTAAGACCGACCAAAGAAAATTTACATATAGCAGCAAGAGATCCGTACAATGCTTTGTATATATGTTTTGCCATCCTCTTATAGCATGTATCTTTGCAAGTGTATAGAGTATACTCGCTTCTAACTATCACTCTTTTTCTATATACAGTGCCCTGACTCCACAGATTTAGCTCAAATGGCTGCTGCGGGTTTATTTTGTTACTATGTCCAACAAATAGATGAGAACTTTGTAACTAACTAGCCAAAATCTATTATAAGCAACCAATCCTCTGGGACAAAACTTCATACCCAACATTGCAATTGTTGGGTTAACCATTTCAATATGTGCAACTGGCTCTGCTGATTGCTTAGCATTCAAGAAATTGATGGTTTTCCATGGAGCTTGGCCAGCTACAGCCAATAGACCATCCCAAAACACCCAGGATTAGATCCACACTTGAGCAAGCATTAACCTGAGAAAGCAGATACACTTCCCATTATTAGGACAAGATGGTCATATTGCCATTAAAAAACAAATAGGGAAACGAAGAAAAGACAACATTGAAGCAGTGACAAACGAGAATCAGCAAAGAAATATTGGGCACACTACCAAACTCTCAAGATTCCCTTCGATATGAAACAACATGACAGCCATTCCCCTTCCTCTATCAATTTCAGCCTAAACACAGGAAATGCAAGTGTTAAAAATAATACATAGTCATGTGGACTGTAAACAAACAAGTTTAGCAATATATTGGATATATTTTTACCACTCACCACACAAGAACATATAGTGATGCCTACAGCTGCTAATGCTGTTGTCACCTCAGCCATCATGCCTGCAATAAAAAGTAATTAGTTAATAGTTTAAGCATTATGACCAGACACTCAGATCTAGGCAGGCAGTGGATTTTAGCACAGAGGGTATGAACAAACACAGTCAATGTCTTTCCATACCCCCATACGCAGATTTTGTCCATCACTATCCACAGATGCTCAATAAATTTTGGAAACCCAATCAGAAATTTGTTAGGAAATATTCTGATTAAGTTCCTAGCTTGCATCATTACTTTTACAGAACGAAAATTACCTTTTCGTTCTATGCATACCACACAAAACCATTGAATGGAATGCCCCTCAAGATTGTGCCAAGCAGCAATTTTACTGGCTTGCCAACTTTCCAAACCAGGCAAGACTTCCTTATACATAGGAATATTTGCTGACATCATTTTGGCAAAACCATTTTCTTGTGAAGACAACTCTCCCTTGGCCTTCGAACTGGCATGCTGTACATGTTTGTTATGTTTGCCATTGACCTTTGGACGCCAAATACTTCCATTGTTAACAGGAAATATATCTTTAGAACTTCTAATTGGAGAGGACATGTCGACAACATTCATAAGGATCTTCTCCCACAAAGGTCTGCTCTGTTTGGAACTACCTAAAAGCTCTTCTCCTTCGCTCTCCTCTTCAGAATCAGCAATAAAATTACTTACTGTGTCTGCCGTTATTTCAGCAGCAGACATTGCGGCTTGCTCCTTTAAAAACTAATCACAGATGAAGAATTAGAAAACAAAAGAAAAAAGAAAATAGAGGCCATCCTAGAGGATAAAAGGAAAAAATAATAATCCACATTCTAAGTAAACCTACTTTCATAATTTTGTGCCTGGCACAACGTGTTTTAGCATGTTGCAACCACTGCTTATGCCTTTGGAAAGCCGATTTGCTAGAGAGCGCCTGATAAAACAACAAAGCAAGTGAAAGCTGATTAGGGTTGCACTTGTTAACTAATAATATGCGTATATGCAACCTGATGAACTTCTGGAAAAGAGAAACTAAACAACACATGCAAGTAATGTTAAAAAAGTAATCAATGTATCATTGACAATTCCTATTCTTGCTCGGACCACAGGAAACTAAATTAACTAATGGAGAGACAACTAGCCTTGAGATTGTAATTCAGCAACCATCAGACTGAAATTAAAACATATAACTTGTTCTCTGTGCTGTAAAAATCAGTTAATCATTTAAGACAGCACAGATCTTCGAAAGAAACAGATGAGTTGCACTGTTGGCTGCAAAACTGTAACATGCCACAAAGTAGCATGTTAACAAGAACAACTAACCCTAATAACACAACTCTAACTCTGTTCATGATCTTTTCAACTTCATGAAGAGAGAGACAGCGAGATGATGAAGAAGAAGAAGAATATGGAATCTTCATTTTCTATGATACACTGAAAACTTTAAACCTAAATGTAGTTCCCAATACAAAGAGCTCATAGAATAGACAAATGACTACTAACATTGTAGGTGATTATCTCCACAACTTCAGCATTGGCAAGTGCATGCGTAGGAGAAACAAGATTACCATTGACCTGCAACAAATAAAATCAAGGACTAAAAATCTGATTCATAATTCATTCAGCTTTTAGCTTCTGATTTGTAGGTATAACTCAGGACTGAAAAATGAACACCATAGCAATTAGAAGTGAGAAAAATACCTTTGCAGCAACCATCTTGTTGCCAATTTCAGTATGTATCATATAAGCATAGTCAATAACAGTTGCTCCTCTAGGCAAATTTTTTATCTGTACATATATTAAAATAATTATCAAGAGCATAATCAGCTCCATTTGAATATATATGTAAATCTCTATAATCCTTAAAAGAGAATCAATCCACTATTTTACCTCTCCCCTGGGCGTAAAGACAAAGACACGACTACCTAAGAGATCTCTTGTGACAGTATCTACAAATTCTCTGGAGGTCATGTTGCCAACAAACTCCTCTTGCCATTCTCTAATAGCATTGAGCCAGCTAATCTGTAGGAAAGAAAGGACTTCATCCATAAAATTAGCATCAAAATCAGGGGACTTGGAAAATGGTTTATTAAGAAATATCTTTTAAAGATGACTAGTAATTATAACGATGCATCAAGGTAGAGTGATATACCCTGAGTGCAATGTTTGCATTGTTAAGGCAGACAGTCTTCCCCCTTGAACTTCTACCATTAGGCATTGCATGTCCAACTAAGCCAGTGACAAATACTCTCCCACTATAGTGAGCAGCAATGCCTCTCTCAGCTATCAGATCCATCTCTTCAGTTCTTATCTGCCGAGAATGAATAAAAATTTGTGTGTAAATATCTTCACAACAAACCAAACCAACAATTCTGATTGACTTTTACAGTAATTATAGCAAATAGTGGCATTCAAAGAAGAATAATTAACAAATAACTAATAAACAAAAAAAATCATCCTCAACTATGAAGACAGAAAGGAAATGATAAAGAAATGAACATCCAAACTACCTGAACTTCCAGTCGCAACATGCTCTCATACAAAAAGGGAATCACAGTGGTATGGAGACTTTGATAACCATTAGGCTTTGGGGTCGCAATGTAATCTTTCATCTATTACAATGGAAAAACAAATATTAAGGTACAGTAATTTCCTAACATAACAACTATTTACTTCAAGATTCAAAAAGAAGGAAAAAAGAGAAGGTAAGAATACACACAGCTCGAGGAATAGGGGTCCAGATTCCATGAACCAACCCAAGGACATGGTAGCATATCTGCAGAAAGCACATACATGAGAAAAAGGCCATATGCCACACCAAGCACACAGTTTGGCAAAAGATACCCAGCTCCTCTGGCATGGGCAAAGAATTCACCTGCTGAGGACTGCACAAAGGCCCAACTCCAACACATGGCTTTGGTTTTATGATAATGCGAAGCTGGGCATGACCAACAACATATTAACAAGTGAATACAAACAAAGAAAAGTTTCTTTATAAGAAGTTATCAACATAATCTAGACAAATACCAGAACAAACCTGTGCAATTTGGTTAACCTCATTGATTGAACATCTTGATTTAAGCACAGATTTATAAATACTGCCAAAAAAAAAAAAAAAAAATTCCAATTAAAAATCAGCAAAAGTCTGTTTCTTTGAAAACATATGAGAGCTCATTATCACATCTATGCAAAAAAGTTTCCCTATCAGTATATTAAACTCCAGCAAGATGAACATATACATATACTACAGTCTTGCGAAGTATTTCAATTGCATGATAATCATGTTAACCAGGGAAACTATGTGAAAACTTTAGTCAATTTATGCGTTGAACTTCATTAAAATGGCAACAGACCCATCCAAAAAAGCTAGTAAATCACAGTTGACAAAGAAACAGGGATCATGAACTAAACAATCAGCACACAAACTAAACAAATAAATGAATGAATATTAGAAGATTGATCCATGGCTTCACCTGTAAGGCTCCTTACATACAGAAAGAACTTCGGTTTTCACAGTCATAAGTCCTAAGAACTGATCATCCTCAATCTTCTTCTTTAAAATGTTGTTTGCCTAGTACGAAAAAAGAAAATTTATGAATCACAAAGATACAGACTCAGTTTTAGAGACTAAAAAACTTTGACAGTCAAAAAATGTTAAATGGTCGACATGATAGTCATGCCAACCAGCCTGTGATAAAGACAACTTTAGACCTCTATCCAACATTATTATAACAAAAGAAGGAAAATTACCTCCGCAAGTTCTTTCTCGTGTTCTTTATAAAGATCTGCAACTCGTCTTTTGATCTTCGCATAATCTTCAGCGTTTGTGTACATGAAGGATAGATTTTCAAGTTCAGACTGCAATAATGTTAATAAGAGTTCAGATTATGAATTAACAGGACCATTAACCAAAAATATGATGTAATAAGTGCTTTAAAGTGAAAATCCTCCTCATTGCTAGGGTTTTGGCTAAATGATGAAGGAACATAACATCAGCACCACTTTTAAATAAAGAAAAACAAAGTGATGCAGATATGAAACAAAACTATATAATGACTCATTTATAGCAGGTTTGAAAATAAAATGATGCAATTCAAAAAATTCTAGTTGTATGTGTCGAATAAATAGTTACAAATCTCAAAAGTGAACTACTATGCAGTACATCTTAATAATGAGGATTAAAGCATCAAACACTCCATTTCATCTTGAATGATGAAGAAGTCATGAACAATTTAGTTTGGACCACACTGGATATGATATCTTGAACTATGTAAATTCAAGATGGTAATTGATTGTACTAGAGAAATTTAATATGGCAGCCAGGAATGAAAATAATATACCAAAATTCTACATCCCTACTAGTGTATGTCAGCAGCATGTACATATCATATTACAATCTGAACTTTAAAAGCACAAACAGCAATTACAAATGTGAGAATGAAGTATAAGGGTATACCTTTATTTGGTACATCCCTAACAATTTTGCCAAAGGAGCAAAGACCTGCAATGTCTCCATTGCAATGCTGGACTGGACACAAATGAATAATATTAGAAACCATGACAGCCACATAACTAATAACCAAATATTTATTTAATCAATATTAACACAGCACCTGTTTATGAGGAGGCATGTGCGAAAGAGTGCGCATGTTATGTAATCTGTCAGCTAATTTGACAATGATAACACGGACCTGAAATAGCAGCCATTTAGTTGCCAACTGGCTTTGAAAATAGATAACAAAGGCATCCAAAAACTATAAAAAGGTTACCTCCTCTGTCATGGCTAGAAACATTTGCCGAAGATCATCAGCTTTAACATCCTGCACTGAATTGTTTTCCTTCTTACATTTCAACTTTCCTAGCTTGGATACCTAACCAGGAAAAAGATGAAAAAGAAACCAGAGTGAGCACACATTAAAATGGAGAATTTTCCAACTTCCACCCTGCACTTAATTAATTGAGTTGCTGAAGAAAACACTTGTTTCAAATAAACAATAAAGCACCTTGGTCTCTCCTTCTACAATGTGTCTTACAGTAGCACCAAACTCCTCTTCTATTCTCTCAAAAGTGACCACATTTGTATCCTCAACCGTGTCATGCAGTAATCCAGCAGCAATAGATTCCCAATCTAGTTCCTACAGCAGTTAAGATTCAACTTAGATTGCAGAATGCAACATAATTACATTCCAAACTTGTGCGTGATTGATTTTTTTGCACAACATACAAGTTCTCCCAGAATTCGTGCAACTTCCACAGGATGAATGATGAAAGGCTCTCCACTGCGTCTTTTTTGACCATCATGTGCCTCAAAAGCCAGCTATAACAACACAAGAGCTACATTTAGACATAATCACCAGTTCAAAAAGAAATGGCTTAAAAAGGAGGGATGCTAAAATTCCTGGCGAAAAGCAGAGGCCTTACCTTAAGCGCATTATGGACCAATTCCAATTCTTTAGGGGAAAGATATGATATGGTGGGTCTAAGATCCTGAGACAACAGTTATATGACAATAAGTATGGTTCTGACCGCAATGAATAAAATATAGCCCATTTGCAAGACAAGAACAATTATGACAGTTAGCATGTTCAACAAGAGACAATTATACCTCCCACAACCTTTCAGGAGAAACGTTGCTGAAAGCAGTTGAAGAGATGGGTGAGGAACAGCACAACTGCCATCTTTTACAAGGAACATTAAGCAAACTTGATCTGAAGAGTTTTCCAAGAAGTATAAAGTCTGAAGCATCAGTACACCAACCTCCAACATCAAAGGCTTCACATCTCTGGCAAGAGTTCAAGGTCAAACCAATACCAAAAATTAATAAGTTAAACAAGTGTCCATGTTACAGCTTAAGTTATAGTACATAAGATCATCCATCTATACAGCCTTCCTAAAGGCTTAGGGAGAATTTCACAACTTTAAGGGAAGAAAAAAATAAAAAAAGCAAAAACAACTTATAATACTTGTCCAACCATAAACTCATTTGAGTAATACTACACTTACAAAGAAATTTTACAAAGATCTCCATACAAAGTGAGGTGGCAAAAAATGAATGGAAGAGTGAATTTAATGAGTTTGACTTTTTCTTTCACTCTTCCATTCATTTTTTGCTACCTCACTTTGTACGGAAATCTTTGTAAGATTTCTTAGTAAGTATAGTATTATTGAACTCATTTTATTGCTCGTATATTAGTAGCTGATATTAAAAGGTTTCATGAAAGAAAAGCTGCCTATTAGACCAAAAATCTGAGGTTCTATAAATCCCTTTTACGATACCCCGAAAGATGTCTGTCCCCAATTTATGACACCAAATTCCAAAGTTAATATTATTCTGAAAAGTACAAAAAGGAAATACCATCTCATTTCCTTTGTTGGCTGGACCTGACATATAACATTAAGCTAAGAACATCAAATATCTAAAATCAACACTCTTCCACCGTCATGATTGAGGTTAAATCTTTCCACCAATACTCAATTACTAGATTGCATTATATAAACCTACTTAAACACAATTCAAACAACCTTTATAACTAATTGATTTTAAGTATTTTTAACTGGTCCAATAACCGAACTACCTAAAACAGTCACAATATCTCATCAAATTTAGAACAAAATACATAAGAGAAGAGAGAAGTCTCAATTAAAAGGAACTTACCGAATTGATACGATTTCTTCTTCCGTTAGAAGAATAGGACAAAGAAGAACAGTGAGCAGGATGTGCAGTGCTGGCAAGAAACCCAGTCAGAGCTCTCGGCGCTTTCCAAGCACACGAGAAAACGCTACAATCATAATATCTTCCACTGACGTCGCCTTTCGGAAACTTGCATATGTTCACACATTCCACTGACACTACAAAATTATTTAATACGCAATTACGCTACAGTCAAACTAAAAAACCTACTCGTATTAGGCCAAATTAAGTGAATTACTCTAATGAATTTGATTTCCTAGACTTTCTCAGTAGCCAAACTAGCTTATAAAAGTGTAAAATTGACAAGAAAGAGATAACGAACCTGACATAGACGAAGCAGAAGCCATTTGTAATGAAAGAGAACAATCTCATTGAATCGAACTAAGCATTAATCAATACACAAAGATTAACAACTAAATTTTTTTGAATCAAATGCTTACTAAGCTTTCTTGATTGAAGAGAGAGAAGATTATGTGTTATTAAGTGTGGTACAGAGAAGAGTTGTGTTTTGTGTTTCGTGTTTTGGGGGATTTTGGACAAATAACCGATGGATTTGAAGGAAGGAGGTGAAGAGATAATCTAGAGAGAGAGAGAGAGATTGAGTTTTAGCCAAGGCCACACAAGTACCGTTCGATAAAGATATTTATTTTCTTTTTTCTATTCTCCTGATTTATAGGTGATGACAGAATTTTTGAATTTGTCTTGATTTTTAATAATTAAATTTTCTTGGCAATTTCTAGGTGTGATTCGTGTGAATCGTGAAGCGCTGAAAATTTCCATGGGCTGGGATCTTAGTAGACTTTTGTGCCAAGTAGNAAATACCGTTCGATAAAGATATTTATTTTCTTTTTTCTATTCTCCTGATTTATAGGTGATGACAGAATTTTTGAATTTGTCTTGATTTTTAATAATTAAATTTTCTTGGCAATTTCTAGGTGTGATTCGTGTGAATCGTGAAGCGCTGAAAATTTCCATGGGCTGGGATCTTAGTAGACTTTTGTGCCAAGTAGAATGGAATTTGACGCCAAAAGACACGTTGGCAACAGCCACATTTTTTTTTCACATTTATTTACAATAATGCCCTTATATTTATTTTGAAACTCCAACAGTAACTTTTTAAATTTTATTTCTTTCATTTAGCACTAGCAGCATTATGTCCTGTGAATTGTGTACTTTACTGTATTGTCTTATGTATTTCCCTGCAGGGAGAACGACTTACACATACCAAGTTTTGCTATAATGATAAATTGGTACTTAAAAAGTTTTAAAACGATAAATAGATACCTTCCGTCATGTTATGTTGGTGATTTTTGTTTATTAATAGTGAAAAGACTAAAATGCCCTTAAAAGTTTGAATTTTAGTTTTTTGTAAATTTAAAGACCCCCTAAGTTTACAAATTTAACTAAATAACCCAATATATAAAATTTTTGTAAAATAACAAAAACACCCTCGCCACCCGCAGTGCCAGATTCCGGCCACCACCGTCGGAATCTGGCCGGAAAGTTACATTACGACACAGACCCGTCGGATCTGTGTCGTAAAGCGTCGATCTGACTTTTTCGGGCCAGATCCGTGGCTGATCTGACCGGAAAAGGCCAGATCTACGACTAGATCTGGCCGTCGACGCCGCAAACTCCATCTGCGGCGTCGACGGCTAGATCTGGCCGTAGATCTGGCCTTTTCCGATCAAATCAGCCACGGATCTAGCCAGAAAAGGCCAGATCTGGCTGCTGCTTCGACGGCCAGATCTGGCATTTTCCGGCCAGATCTGTGGCAGATCTTGCCGGAAAAGGCAAGATCGACACGTTACGACACAGATCCGATGGGTCTGTGTCGTAACGCAACTTTCCGGCCAGATTCCGGCGGTGGTGGCCGGAATCTGGCACTGCGGGTGGCGGGAGTGTTTTTGTTATTTTACAAAAATTTTATATATTGGGGTATTTTGTTAAATTTGTAAACCTAGGGGGTTTTTTTAGAAATTTTTAAATTTATAAAAAACTAAAATTCAAACTTTCAATGGCATTTTAGTCTTTTCACTATTAATAAACAGAAATCACTAACAGAATATGACGGAAGGTACCTATTTATCGTTTCAAAACCTTTTAGGTATCAACTTGTCGTTATAACAAACCTTGGGTATACACAACTCATTCGGCCTTTCCCTGTATTGTTGTTTTCTACGTTTGCGTGTTAAATTTCTTTAGACGGGGGACAATGTTTTGCACAAAAAGTGTTCAAAGACTTGACTATTGCAAATGTCGGTGCTATGTAGGAGTGTCAAGGTGACTTGATGATGCTGATTAATTAATAATATAATTCTCGGTGTGTAAAAAGGAGTTTTGAAGAATTACATATTACGAAAATTTTAATGTAATTTAAATTTGGTAGCATTTGCAGTTGCAAGGTGAGAAAGCTGGAGAAAATATATATTTATATAATAATGTTGAAAAGGTTAATGGTAATAGAATGTGAGGCGCTATGGCAATCAACACCATGGGCAATGCTTTTGAGTACAGTATTCTTGGTTAATGAAAAAGTAATGTGGTATTTAATCACAATATAATTAACGAATAAATTATTATAAACACTGGTTGGAAGCACTAGGTTTTGTTGGGAAATTATTACATAAGTGATTAGGTAAGAGTAGTTGGTGGCATAAAAAAAGAGGTTATAACATCTCAACGCGTAATCTACAATCGACAAAATACATAACTAAAATAAGCAAGATATTATGGTATTTAATTTGTAAAGTTAATTAAAATTAAAAAAAAAAAACTTTTTAGGTCAGAAATATTTTTCTTATAAAAAATATGGCACATGGGGCCGAAAGCATGTAATGAATATCATATTTACGGTTGCGAAATAAATTAATTCAAAGCACAGAAGAGTTAAGCTTAGAATGAGGCAGTGCTTGGTTACCTATACGTGAATAAATCATATTAGTTGTTTTCAAATGTTTCTGGAAGAGATAGTTGGTGGGAGTAATAGTATAAAATCATTCACATTGTAACGATTAAAGAGATATCCTCTGGAAAGTTATCAAAGCATTGACTGTCCAATAATTGGAAGAGGAATAACTTGAAGTATGCCTTAGGGAAGTTGTGTTTGAGTGCTTCCGTCTATTGGATTTGGAGGGAAAGAAACAATAGAGTGTTTGGTGGGGGGTACAAGGATGCAACTTCAATTATTACTATGATTAAGTTAATTGTGAGGGATAAAGCTATAGACCTTAGGAAGATGAAGAGAACCATTAGTAATAGGAGTCTTGCTCTGGATTAGGGGTTATCAATGTGCATTTTTAAATAGTGAATTTTTGTTAGTTGGCTTTGTTTTGGTGATAGTTGTCTTGTATATGTTTTGAAGATGGTCTTGTATAGGTTTTGTTTTCGTCCTAACTCAGGGATTGTCCTGTGATAGAATGTGCATTGGAAGATAATGTTTTGTATACTTCTTTTGTCTTGGTTAGACTTTTGTTTTGATCCTATCTTAGGAATTTGTCTTATGGTAGACTGACCACCTTTATAGGTTTTTTTTGTACATTATTTAAGCATTAACTGTCGTTAAGGTTAAATTAAATCAAGTAGAAAGAATGTGAACTGAATATCCATTTGGATCAAATATTTTTTTTTAAGAAGGGACCAAATTCCTGCAATCAATTGCAAACATTTTACAGTTTGAAAACAATTGCAAACATACTGTAAAATCAATTGCTTTGGCGAGACGAGGCGCTTTGTTTTTCAAATCTTTCTAGAAAGAAAAACAGTACATAACTGTAAAGGTTTTAAATATTTCCTCACATTTCATTGTTTTTGGGCAATGAGGCTGATACAATAATATTTTTGATGTAAATACATTACAACAATTGAGTTTTTATGGAGGCCTGGGATATATGTTTCTGCTTCCTCTTAATAAGAACTGCTGCTAGATGAAGATGGTTCTATATCACTGAAATTATCTCCTTTAAGAATGGAAATCACCTGAATGAACAGAAAGGGAAAAACATAAATTATAATAACATAAGAAATCACTCTAGAAAAGGGCAGGAGCATACAACAACATGAGAGGTTAATGAGCACCTCACTCATAAAGGGTCGTGAAGTTGGCTTAGTTTGTGTGCATTGATTTGCAGCAGCCATCACCCTGTAAAATCCATGCATGTCGGAGATCTCCCAGTTCTCCTCCAATAATTCATGGAATTTCCTTTCCAGCAACAAAGGCCGAGCCTGTCAAATTTTCATATAGTATTACACATAAAATTGCGGCAATATTAGATTTAAAGCCAATTTCAAGGGTTGGATGAGGAAATTTTAAAGGTATTTAATTTCACCAATCACAATAGGAGATGTATAATTCATGGAAACGGATATAACCCGTGAGCATAATATGAAAAGAGTTGCCCACTTACCAACTCAATCAAACTTCTGTCGTCCTCTGGTAACTGTCGCCGACAAAAGAGCCTTAAGAGCAGAACTCCAAAGGAATAGACATCTGATTTCAGTAATTCCATTGATCCATGGTTCAAAGGATCCTTAAGCTTGCACCTTTAACACCAAAAGCAACTTCAATTTAATGGATCATAATCAAACTTAACAAAAATGTGTTTGGGCCTGTTCATTAAAGAGTTTAAATCACACTTTAAAATGTATTAATTTAGCTTCGTCTCCTTTGACTGTACTGAGTAGATTGAATGTCTAAAATTTGGTGGAAAGGAATTCTGAGTAACTTGGCTTGAAAGCATACCTCTTATCAAAAATAGATGATGGTTGTTCAAGATGAATCCATTTTGCTTTACCAAAGCCAGAGATCTGTCAGAACCACCATTTAGATTTAAGAAAGAGAGCCGCCCAGTTAGGGGAAAATAAATATACGCCCTTAACAAGAAACTCAGGTTTGAGATTTCACCAATGGCTCTAAGTCGTATCTTAGAAAAATGTTGCTTAGCTGTAATTGACCATAAGCAACTGGGCCTCCAGGACACTCTTCGTGCATGTATCGAACGCCTTGAGCAATACCTATGGCGATCTTCAATTTTTGTTGAAATTTCAGTTTCAGTTTATATTCCCCCAAGCCTGATAATGACATGCCGCAGACATTATTAGTCATAAAATCTGCAATGATTTTCAATGAATCAATTATTATTGAAGATTGATTCTTTCCACTGAAGTATTAAGAATAGTTGGTAATGATTGATTATGTCCGCTAAACTTTTAAAGAATTTTGGTAATGATCTAAAAGGAAGAGATGTCAGAACTCACCGGAAAGAATATCGTCCAGTGTTCCTTCTATTGGTAGGGGGTAGAGTAAAACTGTAGTAGTATCACTTTTGTGGTAAGCAAGTAGCTGCATTATGTTTTTGTGGTTAATAGACAAGGCTGCTTTATTTTCTGCTTGAAAAATGCGGCTAGAATTTCCTGTGAATCTCTTTACCAAGACATACTTCTGTTGTTGGGTCAAATATCCAGTATAGGTCATATAGTTCTTCTGCCTCGCACAGAACTTTGTCGAAAACTTACTTGTAATATCCATAATCTCTTCCCAGCTTAACTGCACTGGTACACCAAGCATCATATTGGCGTCTGCGTATTTTATTGGAGTATATTCATGTGGAGTTATCTCTTCTTTGAGTGGCTCCAAGCTTCCTACGTTTTTATTTTGCTCTTGTGGCTCAGATATTTTTTGCTTTCCCCTCTCTTTTCTTGTACTTGCCAGAGATGGAGAAGAGAGTTCAAGTACAGCCAAAGAACAATTTATACACGGTTCCTGTTGTGTGGATCCATTCATGGGCTTTGGAGATTTTGGGTTTAGTCTTTCTTCCACGACCATTGAACATTCTGATCCATCACATAAAAGCAAGTGATCAGGAACCATGGATTCGTCGTCATCACCAATCAATGATACATTACATTCGGCGCCACTGAGTCGGAAACTGAGGTCCCTAGTAAAATATCTGCAACAATGAGGAAAATTTCCAAGGGATTAAGTAATCAAGAATAAGAAAACAATATGAGTCTGAAAAATCCTTGATTCAGTTGTGTTTTATGTATGGAGATGGAAGGAGGAAGGAGCAGGAGAACCTATCCATAAAAATCCAAGTGGCCTTGGCATTGTTAACCTCCTCTATTATAATATCCTTCAGCCGGAAACATGCAGCAATCTTCACCTGAAATTTGACCTGTCACAAAAGCTATTCATTATGATGGAACCTAGGAGGTTACAAGATCAGCATAAAAATACACATGACCGTTATCATCACTAAGAATAAAAGGCCAATTAGCAATTACAAAGAATAACTGTCATTAGTAAATAATTTATTTTCACTTTGGGAGCAACATTTTCTATTGTCTAAAGCTAGAAAAAAATTGTAGGATTAAAAATCTATCTTCTTATATATGGGAAACTAGAAAAAGAAAAACTATTTTCATAAATTTAATTTATATTTTATAACATGACAAAGCCAATTCAAAGCTAGTCAAAATGGTTGCGGTGGTAAGAGATTGGACTTACTCCATTTGTTTTGCAAGTATCATAAAAAGGCCTAAAAGTCCGGCGGTAAACCTCCATTTTCTGAGTGATCTCTTGGCGGAGGAAGTTGATGTATGAATCTTGTCCCCATGATTGATTACATTGAAGATGATGATGATCTGGCCCACATTCACTATTGCCTACATCAGAAGACGTTCCAGTCGCAGATTCCTCCTTCGCAGGGAGAATTGTGAGAACCAATATTTCATCCTCATCATTATTCACTTCTCGCATAGCCTTGCATAGCGGTGCAATACCTGTCCTATCTTTGGAGGCCTTGATTCCTTCCAATACCACAAGCACGCTCAGTTTGTTCTCCCTCCTTTTTCTAGTCATCATTTTTTTGAATGGATTATGAGCTCTTACTTTTGGATACTGTAATTGTTAATGTGTATGTTTTTCATTAGATACATGTCTAATAGTTCTAACCAAATAGACGGCTTTATTTGTATGCATTTCGATGCATGGGTGGTGGCGTTATGTCTGTATAATGATTCTTGTTAATTTCCACCTTAGTAATTAACGTATAACTTCGAGCTCACCGGAGATTTTTCTGTTTTCTTGCTACCATTCGCCGCGTCACGGGACACATTACACGTCACAGAATATTTCTTTATTCATTCCAATACCATTTGCATAATTGAATTGTGACTTTCCAAATTTTATCACTGGATTTTACAATCTGGACAATAACAGAACAGAACACCCCGGCTTCTCTATCTCTAGATTTCTCCCTGTTAAAAGGTAAAAGTCTTACGAGATACCCAAATACCCAATCATATGTAAGACAACATTAGCTCTCCATCAACATGGGAACATTCTTCAAACAGCTGGAGTGTTTAGAGGCGGCAAAACAACTGCCACCAATTTAATATCCCCAGTAATGGACGGTAAATGCTAATCCTCCCATTTCGGCGTAGCAAGCCAGTGTGTTTGCTCGCGTGACTATTAACGCCATAGCCTAGGAGAAACTCGGCTGTCGTTTCAAGTGAAGGTCAACTTACTTAAAAAATAATTATATTTGTCTTTTTTCTCTTTTTGGGCACATGAAAATATGGTCAATTTCATATGACATGAGACCTTGCTGCAGGCTACCTATGTTTTTGCAAGCTTATGTAGCCATTACCAGTACATTGAAAAACAGGAGAGGTTATTGCTAAGCTTTCCTTTTAGCCATCATCGCATTGGCATAGCCAGGAGAGTTATCTTTTTATAGTACAGTTCTACTAAGTGCAAACTATTTTTCGAGAGAACTTCCAAGATGTTTGCCAAATGACTTATATCTCCAGGTAATATTTGGGATTGGTGAAACTGTAGTGAATTATTTTAGTTACAAATACAAAAAAGACAAAAGTAGTTCATGATCTCGTCTCTAAAAATTGTAGGTGGCGACTGTGAACTCTTTCCTGATAATACTTATGTTTGGTGGGGGACAATTCATTTCTCTGCTTAAACCATTATATCTTGTAGTTGGAATATTCAGGGGTTTCTTAGCCCGATAATCTGTAATTACCACACCACCGTACATTTTGGCTGCCTCATTGCAGTCGATCTCAACGCTTGGATTATAACCTTGAGTAGCTGCATACTGAAATTGGTGCTGAGGATGATGATTTTGATTTACAGGCCTTGTTTTTCGCCCTACACATTCTTCCAGTAATGCAAAGCCTTCCCTTCCAACTTTTGCTAGGTCTGCTGATGGTTCCATTTCGTGCAATTCTCTGTTAGCTTCTTCTAACAGTATCTGTTAAGTTGTGCTTGTGCTTGTGCTATATCAAACACGGGAGCCCTACGACCCTTTTATAGCGACGTTTTTATTCCACTTTTTACACTATAATTGGAACATGGTTTCTCACTCTTCTTTCAAAATTTCCATAAAAGATGGTGGATATATCCATTTTATTTGCTTTCGGTGGCTACGCATTTGATGCCGCTAATAAAATTCCTTCCTGTCCTTTGAGAAAACAAGCTGCCAACATCAGCATATTTGTGTGGTCAGTCTGTTAACTAGTGTACTTGGTCATCTGGGAACATCTCTCTTCCTATCTAATCTAAATTATTGAGGTGAAAACAGATAATGGAACGGTCATTATTGAATTTTGGGCTAAAAAGTATAAGGTGGATTCAAATGGGCCGATTCTTCCAATATTTGGGGAACAGCATATTCAGGATAGGTAGAAAGAAGGATAAGGGATTAGCCATGAAGATATATTGTAAATTTGTAATTGAGGAATATTCCAATTAATATTCCACTTTGTCGGTTTCAGTGGGGGATCTCTCTCCAGTCCTTTTCGGTTGTTGAAAAAGGTGTAAACTGTAAAGTTGTAATTGAGATATGGATAAGAATTCCCTCAGCATCATGAGATAGAAATAAAGTAGAACCACTATATATTAATTGGTGAGTAGGCCATAACACTGGCTGAATCTTATTCTACCACCTGGCAAAGTTGTGCCAAAAAGAAGTGGTGCCACTAGTTTGCATGATTATTAACTCCTCATTTAAAATGTGAATTTCAACGATCATAGTAATATTTTTGCTCTGTATATGCTATTATCTAAATTAATCTAACAATTTCAAAGACTTAAAAAAATCGGATTACCTCTTGTGCTTCCATCTGGAGTATATTATTTGAGCTCTAACTTAGTGAAAATTAAACTATGGCCACAATGGCTTAAAGGACCAAAACAATGAACGCTAAGTAAGCTATATATGCCAAAGACTTGTGCTAAAAATTAAAACAGGTAGAGTTGAATATCATAAATGATGCTTCTGGCTTCTGAGCATTATTTTAAAAACCAGATCGGAGGGTAACCCGCTCTGATGGTTGGGTCACGGTTCAACCGGTCTAACCGGTTAGACCATCGGTTGAGCCAATAGTTTGACAGGTTTAAAATCTAACAAAAACACCCTTGATAAATACCATCAGACCCTATAGGTTTGAAATCTAGCAAACACAATCCTGGCCAAATGCAAATCGACGATCGATTGGGAGAGCAACGGCGACACACTAGGGAGGGTAGATCGGATGATGGGGAGGGCTAATCGGCAGCTAGCAAGTAGAGGCATCATCGGAAAATGGCAGATTGGTGGTGGAAGTCAATGGTCACGGTGGCTTTTTTTGGTGAGATGACTGGGTCTTCGTGAACGATGGCAAGTGAGCTTGGAAGAAGGTATATCGGTGGCTGAGGAAGCCTGTCGATGCCGGAGAAGGCCGATCGACGCCGAGAAATGGAAGAAAAATCATGCGACAAAGGTGGACGATGAAACATCACGCGACGGTTGGAGATGAAGCGTGACAGCGTCGAAGAAAGTCAGAAGGTGGTTTCCGACAGTAAGGGAAGGTGGAAGGTCGCCGGAAAAGGGGAGGTCATTGCCGATTTGCATTTGGCCAGAGGGTGTGTTTGCTAGATTTGAAACCTTCAGGGACTGATGCGTATTAATCAGGGGTGTGCTTGTTATATTTGAAACTTGAAACAATTAAAAAGAGTAACCCGACCCGGAGAAGGCCCTGGGTCCCGGTCCAACCGGTTAAACCTACCGGGCTGGTCCGGGTTTTAAAACAGAGCTTCTAAGTAGCTTTTCNTAGGCTTATCTTCATATCAGATGGCTTTGTCTCCCTTAACTACTCGTCATCATCCTCCTGTACAAAACAAAACAAAACAAATAAACCATTTCAATAAACAATTTTTAAGATTAACAATAAAATCAATATTTTTAAAATGAAAATATGCTCAATAAACCGATTAAAGCAACATGCATTTGGAATGCTCCCTAACTTTGACTTCCAATCATATACTAAACTTGATCACACCAACAAGCAAGCAATACCATGACTCCAACTAGAAATACTCTATATTAAAACAATAAGAAAAAGCATTATTTAACTTTATATCCATCCAGAGTTAGATTGTCATTGACATCACTTGAAGCAAGTGCTAGAGAGATTAGCCCAACATGCTTAGAGAACACAGAAGACAGAACAGCAACATGAGGCTACAATATCAAAATGCCCCCTAACTTTGACTTCCAATCATATGGATAATAATGTAATGCTCCCTAAGTTCTCCTTCACATACTTTCAGCACTAGTCTACATCCTGTAGAGCAAATCATAATGTAATTAGCTCTCTTGACTGCAAAGTAAAAAGAAGCTTCCACAATTAAATCAGATGAGTAGAACTACAGTGTAAACCACGGAGGAAACAGGTTGGTATATGCAACCAAAAGTCATTTCCAGCAAAACAATGATATTAATGTTATGCTTTGATTGGTTACATAAAGGAGAGAATTCACAAGCACCTGCAGTTCAAGAGATTCGAGTAAATCAATGGCAAGAGCTACAAAAGGGCCTCAATGGTGTTGATGTAACCCATAGGTAAATTTAGAAGCACCAAAGATGCAGGGATATAGCTTTCTACTTATATACTTTAAGGCAAAAAATTGGATACCATATTATTATTGCCATTAACAGAATTATTTGAATTGCCAGATATCAGTCAACTTATTGGTTATATGACCAATTCATATTGCAATCCATGAAAGAGAACATATTAACTAGATCATTAAGTGGATAATTTTTTATTCATTTTTGGTTTTCAGCCCCTCACTGAGACAGTGACACTGATATAGTTTTGAATTTTTTTTTTTTTTTTTTTTTTTTTTTTGTTTTGTTTCGTTTTAGTGGTCGAAAAAGTAGTTTGGAACAAAAATTTTGGGCATTAGATAGCTGTTTTCAGAGTACAGGAACCACTAGGAAGAAGTAAGAACCATAACAAATACAACTTCTAGAAGAAGATTCACTGCTCAAGCATCTAAACAATTTCCCCACTCAACTTGCAAAAAATTAAAACACTTCTATTTTTCCAATCAAACAAACCAGCCACCAATTGGCTGGATTTTCCCACTTCAACAATCAACACATATCACATAATAGAACATCAAATAACCAGAGGCAATCAAACAACAGTCATAACGTGAACAAAATTCAGCAACTCTAAATTCTAAAGAAATTAACTTACGATCGATTTGGGGCTTCAATCGTCAGAGAGGCTGAGATCTGACAGAGTTGAGCGAGAGAGACTGGCTACTGTGCGTGTTCGAGCGAGAGAGACCGAGAGAGTTGAGCGAGAGAGACTGAGATCTGAGTCTAAGAGAGTTTGAGTGGCTGACTGACTGTGTGTCTGTCTGTATCTGTGCGTGTTAGAGCGAAAGAGACCGAGAGAGTTGAGCGAGAGAGAGTGAGAGACTGAGCTGAGATCTGGTCTGAGAGTTTGAGTGACTGTGAGTGAGACTGTGAGGTCTATGCGACTATGCATGACTGCATGTTCCAGCGAGAGAGA